ATATATATAAAGGATCTTTGTAATTAAAAGAAAGAAACAAGAAAATATAAAGGAAAATTTCTTATATATCGTCTTCGATGCTTGTGGCTCTCGTAGTACATTATCGTTTTGTTGCTTACGTATGTACAGATATATATTTAATTACATGCATATATATATATATATATATGTAAATGTCTAAAATGTACGAATATAAAATATAAATGCAGATATCTTGTTACTATCTAGGAAAGTGATACTTCCTTATCCATCGCAATATTGTATATAACGGACTGACGGTGAGAGATCAATAAAGGCTGTTTTGTCGTATGGCACGGTTGGGGGGGGGGGGGCTGTCCCGTTTCCCTCCTTCCCCGTAGGAACATGTTCTCACAATATTATTAATTATAAAATAATTCAAATATGTACAAACCTAATACTTAATATTTTTTTTTATTATTAATATTTTCAATTGGTTGGTACAATAACTAATATTTAATATTTTATTAGTTGACTATTATCACGCAAATCCACACTATCTGATATGATCGTGCATTTATGAATATATATATATATATATAGATATAGATATTATGGGTAAACGGTATAACTTCCTCTCTACCAATCATATACACACGTGTGTGCGTAAGTGTGCCTGTTTATGTTTATATTATATATATATATATGTATATGATATTAAGTAGATCTAATGCTGTACTCGTATGTGACAGACATACTACCATGCCAGAACAGTTGATCGGTCATATTTAAGATCTCCAAAAGACTGATCATGCATATATAATATCTATATATATATATTAAATCACCCATATCCCGCCAATTAGGTATATATATACACAAACACAATAATCAATATACACCTGTTAATCATTATTATTAATTATTAATTATGAACCTAAAATTAATTATTTGAATTACAAAAAAAAAATCCAAAGATGGTGCCAAATATTATTTGTTAAAATATTTTTTAAAACAAAAACTAATCAACAATTATTTTCAACGAAAAAAATGTCAGAAAGTCATAGATATACGTAGGTGCATATATATATATATTAATATCAATTTATGACACGAGTTAGTTGATTAACAATAAGAATGTCGGCCACGTAATATAATTAGCACGCTTGCATTATTATTGTACGTGTGAAACCGATTTGCCTCCCGTTGATTCTTCGTGCGGTCCCATCATTAATTACTGAATCCACCATCTCTATCCCATATATAAGTTTATACAATTAATTTTATGTTAATTTTATAAAATATTTTTTATTTAAAAAATAATAAATTTATTAAATTAAATTTTTAATAAATAATTATTAATTGATAAATTTGTTTATAAATTGATTTTATTATATTAAAATTAAAATATATCAATAAATTAATAAAATTTAGTATGCTATTTATTGAAACTGATCCATAGCTTTATCTACATATATCGATTGTGATTTTCTTTATATGCGTATACATAGCGATAAAGATTCTAATAACGTTTTGTCACATCATTAGTATTTGTGTCTCTCAATTATGTATTATATGTGGACCAAAAAAGACCAGGACACATGAATAAAATTAAGTAATTTATATGCCATATAACGCACATGAATAAAATTAATTATAAAAATATATTGATTATTCTAATTACATCAATATATTAATAAATTAAATTATTAATTTTCGTCAATTAAAAATAGTATAGTTTTTTTTATTATTATTATTAGTTGTTAAATAATAAAAAAATTTAATAAAATCATATCCATAAGACCCAAAGTTCTTAATATCTCCTAAAAAAGTGGAGCACACCAGCTACATACACACGAGTATAAGTATATATGTGTATGTATATAAATGATAAGGGGATGCACCAACCAAATTAAAGTTGAATATGGTAGAAAAAGAAGACCATATAATCCCTTATCAAGAAATAGGGGGTTGTTGCATTTGTATAAGGAGTGAGGGAGGGTAAGTAACAACCAAACCACCTCTGCAGTTAGGTTGGCTTTCGCTTTCCAATGACATCTTTTTTGTCTTCATCAATCATTCATCTCCTTCCTGCTCTTTTCTGCATTTCCCCGTTATGGTCTCTACAATCCCCCCCTGTGGTCCGGGAGCCTGCACCTTCCACACTTTAACTTTATGGTGTGGGCTCTCTCTCTCTCTCTCTCTCTCATAACTACATATATATATATATATATTATAACTATTTTATTTTTTTATTAAAAAACAAACTATAATTGTAATACCCAATTATAAATATAACTTTTTAATTTTTAAATTTTAATTTAATGTAAAAATGAAAGAAAATTTGTGGAGGATGAAATTAAAAATAATTTTGAAAAAAATGAAAAAAAATTTATATTCTGATGATATTTTTGAAAGAAAAATAAAAAATTCGGGGTTAAAACGCAATTTTAAAAAATTGTATTATGTAAAACACCCAGTCAGCAGTCTTGATGAACCGAAGCGCACCATGTTACAAGGGACGCTAACGTGGTGCCATGCAGGAGGCCACGTTGGCGATCTGCGTCCCCACGATCGGACGGCCCAGATCTGCTCCCGCGTGCACGGACAGCTCAGATGCGTTTCCTCCCCAGACTCAATTGGACGGTCAGATTTAAACGCGATCAACGGTACAGATTCACTTCCTATTTAAACACCATTAGACGATTTAGATTAAACTCGATCGACGGTGCAGATTAAAAGGGGACGAATATAAATAACCTTCTTCACACCAAACCCCAACTCTCGTTGCCAGACCCTCCCATCGGAGAAGAAGACCCAGCCACCAGAAAAGAAGCTGGTCGCCGCCGTCGCCGCGCCGGAACCACTTCCAACTGCCAAAGAGGTAAAAAATTTCTTATTTACTCGAAATTCGATTTTAAACACTCTCATGGCCATCGAAGCAAAAGGACCGGTGGACTGGCCAGATACCATGGGTAAAGTCCGGCAGTGCCACCGTAGGAAATTAAAAAAAATGGTCTCCGATGAGGCCCTTCTCGATTCTCATTCTGTGTAATTCTTCCACAATTATAATCACGGTTTTTTTTCTACAGGTTGACCGAAATAAAACACTCAATCACAAAGGTGAGCCGGCGGAGCTGCCGTACCGGAGAACCCCGCCGCCGGTGAGTTTGGTTTTTTGATTTTTTTTCTGGCCAACTGAGACCTCTTAACACGTTTTCTCGCAGGGATTGATACAAAACCGACTGAAAATAGCCGACTCAAGGTAAACTGCCACCGCAGGTGGCAGTGATGTCCCCGGAGCACGGCAAAGCTGCCGTGCCAGAATTCTGAAATTGGCCAAAAAGTGGTCCTAACACTAATTTTGAATTTTTTGGGATATTTTTAGGTATTTGAAGCATGTTTTAATCCCCGAAGAAAAATTTAGGGAATCCGGGGACCGTCAGTAGGTGCAGCCAATAAGTTTAGCGTTTTGAGCATTAAATTGAGTAAGAATCCCTTATCTTATTCTCTGTTATGGAATTGAAGTTTAATTAATAATAATAATACATTATTTTGGGTAGCTTAGAAAATATACATAATTAATTACATGTCACTAATGGAGTCAGAACCGAAAATTATTCACTGTTAATTTTGCTGATTTATTTTACAGTTTGAATGCATGATAATACATGATTGATTGATCTTATAGTTTGAATGCATGTATTGCTTGTTTCATGTGATTATAGTTGAATTGAGAAGCTGAAAATTAAAGGAAGTCGGGAAACTGTTTGATTAAATGAACGGATGAAACAACAATCTTACTGGATATATTAGGAGATAGTTGACGGACTGGGTACATAGGAACCCTACTGTGAACGGTGCTTCATACCGGATGGGATATCAAGCTTTGGTAATTTGGCGCTCATACCAGACGGGGTATGGGGACAACCCGTTTCCCCTCACACCGGACGGGGTATCGAGATTTGGTAATTTGGTGTTCATACCGGACGGGGTATCGAGATTTAGTAATTTAGCACTCATACCGTACGGGATATGGAAACGGCCCTTTAAATGAAAATGTTAAAGGAAATGGTTCACGCATTGTAGGGACATCCTTTTGGACCCCCATGGATACCAGTAGGCTAATTAAAAGGGAAAGTTGTTGTTTTTAACCGATTGCATATAAAATTATAATATATGCTATGTTATCACCTCCATAGATTATTTTTGAAAATCTCGCTATGATAAGTAGATGGTCAATTATTTTATTTATGATAAACGATTTTGCTTAATTAAGACATCCATTAGTTATTTTTATGATTTCTACCAACCTTCATTTTTGTGTCGGTGAGTATGTGATATTTTTACTAAATTAATGTAACTCATTTTTTCATTAACCATTTCAGATTAAGAGAACCAGAATTTAGAACCCGATCCACAAGAGAATTGCGAGTAGAACGTTTAGTCGTTTACTTTTAATTTATTTCCTTGGTTATTAATTGTCCTTTTAGAATAGTTATTATCGTAAGCCATATTTGGTACTTTCAGTTATTGTATAAGGAATGTAAATTCTAACTTTTATTTTGCTTCCGCACTAAATTTATAATTTATTTCATTTGAAATTTTTGAGGTCGTTACAATAATGATTTTATATTTTAATTTTATTAATGGGCTTATAATGACAAATTTGTTATAATTTAGGCTAATCACAATTTTATAATTCTCTTTTTGAAAAAAATTATAAAATTAGTTATCCATATTTGATATTCATTATAATTTATTTATTAATTTTTTAAATTATAATTTAGTAGTTGACATTTTTATTTTATTAAATGTTCATTTTTCTTTAATTCTCTAAACAGATGTCATGTTTGGATGTTTTAAGAAAATAATTTAAAATTAATTTTAATTAATTAATTCAATTAATAAAGTAATAATAAAAAATAAACATAATAATATTCTTAATTTATTAATTTAATTTAATTAAATAGTAAAAATTATTCTTTTAAACTGTTCTTTAAGTTTCAAAATATTATCTAATTATTCTGATTTTTTTTATTAGAAATTGAAGAAAATTTAATATCTAAAACAGATAAAAATTTCATATATTAATTTAATAATTTGTCATTTTTTTTAATGAAAAGTTATTTATAAATAAATGGGCCTCGAAATGTATGGATGTTTGAGCCAAGCGTACTGAGATACACAGTATGTTTATTTTGGATTGTAGGCAAACATGAGCTCCAATAATTATTTGCTATTATCAATTTAATATATTATTTTTTTGCAAATTTAGAATATTTATATAAAATTACTGAAATTTTTTTGCGTTATTTCATTTATTTTCAAATATATATATATATACTTTTATTTATTAATTTTTTTGTGTATTTTTCTAAAATTTATATTTTATAATTAATTTTTAAATGTTATACTTAAAATGTCTATAGAGGATCACTATTTTACATTTATTTGTAGGAGTTATTTCAATACAACAATTAAATTAGCCTATTGTTGAATTTCACCGAGCCCATTGAGTTATTTTCCTCGACAAGTAAAGTTCATTGGGCCGATTCTGATTTACTGTAGACCCAAGTAGATATTGATGGTCTTCTTCTATGGTATTCAGAATAATAATTACGAGCTACTATTAGACCGACATATGATGATAATTTTATACATTTAATAAATAATCAAATAATTTATTTATATATCCAATTTCATAAACATAAAATATTGTATTGGAATTGATTTATATCTTTATAGTTGTTTTTATTAAAAGTATAAATACATTAACATGAAATTGAAATTATGAATAGAACTAATTTGATTAAATTTTATATATTACTTAATAAAACCTAAAAATAAAAATAAAACGCGAAGACAAATTGTGTAATTTTATTAATTACAAGATATTAATTATCTCTTGTGAGCTAAATGGAGAGATTAATGCCACGTTGTGTACGTCTTAAAATTGAACCCATCGTGGCTAATAGAGCACCGGTACTTCTACTGTACGTGGCATCATTAGCATCCTGACTTTACACCGGCACTTTTACTAAACGGGTGATTAATAATATGGCTTTTAATTTTTTGCCCTTTTTATAAGAAGAAATAGTACCTAGAAATAGTCTCAAAATATTAAAATAAATAACTTACTAGTAAATTGTATTTTATCGACCAAGAAATTAAGTTTGGTTCGACTTAAATATTTTTATATATAATTAATAAAAATTATGTTATAATGGAAGTACATATATAATTTAATTAATAAAATATATATTTTTATTAAAAAATTATGTTTTATCCGTTTGATTTATTTTGTTAGCTTCCAATTTGAATTAAGTTAATTTATTAATTTTACCACCTTGTGCAATCAAATTCACAGTGGCATTCTCGTAGTTATCCTCCAAAGTTAAGGGTATTTTTTTAGGTTGAGTACCCAAATGCATCAGCAGATTGGTCACCTCCAAAAATCGTGCGTGTTTTTACCTTTTCTCCAGTTCGCCTTCATTATTCCCGTTTCAGTTCCTGCGATCTCTGAAAACATTAGCAGCGAAGAGGAGAATCAGAGCTTGAACACGCTCGTCTTCAACTGAGGAAATCTCATATAGGAGGACATTTCAGATTGATAAGAGAGTAAAGAGAGATGTGGCGCTGCGTTTCTCGTAGCCTTCGAGTTCCTTCTTCTAGGAGATCCGTCGCGAATGACTCTCTTGGATCTCGCATGTCCAGATTGTTCTGCACTGATTCGGTACGGCTTCTTTTGTTTTTCGGTTTCGCCTTCTCTGTTGATCTTTATCTTTGTCGTTTTTTTTTTTCAATCGCTTAAGGTTTATTAATATATTTTTCATAGTTGTACGTATAATCTCTTTTGCTGAATTATCTCAACAACAAAAAATCTCTTTTGTTGAAAGCATGAGCTTCGATTCTGCTCTTTTAGTTCATTGATTACTGTAGATTTCTTGTGGATTCTGCTTTGTTTATCTGAATAATTTATATGAGCTATTTTCTGGAGGTTTTTGTAGATTTCATTTTTGCTATTTAACGTGTTTGCGGCAGGAAAAAAATGCGCGAAATGAAACAGAACCGGAACCTATAAGAGTTCTTAAAAAAGTTTCTCTGCTATGATACATGAATTAACATTAAACGAATGTAGCTTCTTCGTTTGCTTAGCTGATTTTAGTTTATTATTTTTGAGAAGCCGTAGGTATTGCTAATCTACAGCTGAAATTTAATTTATTTTCTTTTTTCTACTTCTTCATTTTCCGGATAACCAATCACGGCCTCCATATTTAGGTTGTCTTTTTTTTTTTTAAATAAAAGAAGTGTGTTATTATAGACAATCTGCTAAGGGGTTACTGCTCGTATACAAAATAATTACATGTATATCAAGTGGTCAAATAACCAGCCCAATCTCATCTAAATCTCTCATATCATGATCCAATAAAATAGAATAAAAAATGTTAATCCATCTATCTCTAATTTTTACAAAATCATTTTCAACACTCTCAAAAATTTCAACATTTCGTTTCTTCCACACGACCCAAAAATGATCGGCAGAACAAGTAATAAATATTTTTTTCTCATACATATACCCGACCAAGCCCTCAATTCCTTGCTAACAGTTTCTGATATTTCGGTTGTACAAGTTCCTAATATTTAAAATTTCAAACTGAAAAAAAAAAAATTTGACTTTAATCGTGTTTTTGTCTTGAATTATTATTTTATCCTCCTGCTAATCTTCATCCATGTTCAATGCCAATGTTTATCTACTAACTGCATTTGGTGGTTTTCCTTTTTCAAAGAGGGGGGAAGGGTCAACAATGATATATGTATATTGACTTTTGAATGTGTGGTGCCAGACTGGGGGACGATCCTCATATACAGTAGTAGATCATACATATGATGCGGTCGTTGTTGGGGCTGGTGGTGCTGGACTGCGTGCAGCAACAGGGCAATCTGAGCATGGATTTAACACTGCTTGCATCACCAACCTTTTCCCAACTCGTTCACATACTGTTGCCGCCCAGTTACCTTACAAAATTTACATCTAATTTATTTTCGTTGTCAACCCTCAATAAAAATTCAACCTCCTATAATCGAATTACTGGCTTGCAGTTGGGTTACTTGCTCTCTGTTAAAGTCAAGGATTCCTGCCCTAACTGCTTA